GTCACCTCACATAAACCTGTAAACCACATACCAGCTCCGGTTCAGTCATGACCACCCTGAAAGACGCCTATCATTTATACTGTTTCTTCCTCCTGGTACAGTATGTATCAACAGTTTCAACAGGGACACACACTGCCGAAGTTTAAAGCATTTCAGCAGGTACAGTGGTCAATGCCTTTAATGCCAGCACTCAGGGGCTTCTCAAGGACATCAAGCTTGAAGTCAACCTCCCTCCAGGAGGACTCCAAAACTTAAAAACAAAAACAAACAAACAAACAAAAAAAGTGAAAATAACAGGAAGAAAAGAGAAAGAAAAGCACGGGATAGGTACAAAGCCTTCTTAAGTAACTTTAAAGGATACTCTCGGCCATCGCTGCTACGTCCAGCTTGTCGATATCAGGTGAGCCAGGGCAACATTTCTTGAATTCTTTTCGAAGATCAAAAAAGGAATAGAAGCATTCAGGTAGTAACACATTCTGAGGGAGGAGAAGGCAGAGGCTATTAACTAGGTGGATCTGGTCCATATTTCTCTAATAACTAGGAACCTATGAACGGGGGATATTGTACAATTTACCACAATTTTTAGAAATATAAAATTCAATGTGGAATGGTTCTAATTTTTAATGCTTGGTCACGATACTACATTAGATCCCGTAGCAATTTCATAAAGTCATCTCATTGTAATGAAATGGATAACAATGTTTATGGTTCGCTCTCTCTTCCAATCAAACCATTTTCATTTTTGGCTTGTTTTGTTTTGGAGACAGGGTTTCCTCTGTGTAGCCTTGGCTGTCTTGGAACTCGTTCTGTAGACCAGGCTGGCCTCGAATTCACAGAGATACTCCAGCCTCCGTCTCCCGAGTGCCGGGATTAAAGGTGTGCACCACCACCACTCGGCATCAAGTCATTTTTTTTTTCCATTTTAATTTAGTCTTGTGTATCTGTGCATAGTTGTCCGCATGCACACCAGATGTGTGTGGGTTCTCATGAAGCCAGAAGTTGTCAGAACCTCTGGGACAGAAGCTCAGATGTGAGGGTAGGGAACCGAACAGATCCTCTGCTAAGTGCTCACTCCTATCAAACCCTTTCTGAAGCTAGTATTTATGTGCAATATTGGGTTGTTGTTTTCCATGCTGTAACAGACTTTTTCTAGCTGTTATCATTTTAGATCATCTGTGTTTTTAGGTATCAGTTTTCACACAGATAAATTTAGACTACAATTAACTGGTAAGATCTGTTGAGTCCCAGTAATATGCGTATTTGTTATTATACAAGGCTAGGAATAGTGAAGTCCCTGTACTTTGCAAAAGATTACTTTTGACCCAAATTACAGTTCCAAATCCATTTTTGCCCATTGATCTGGGTTTATCTGAGGATTCAAATTAGATTTTAAACTACACATCACAAGGGCTGATGAGGGCTCAGGGGTTAAACACCTGTTCAATTCCCAGCACTCACAGGGTGACTCACAATCACCTGTCACTTCGGTCCAGGGATCTGACACTCTCTTCTGACCTCCACAGGCATGCATGCACACGGCACACATGATCCATGCAGGCAAAACACGAAAACATACAAAAAATAAATCTTAAGCAAACAAACCACAGGCCGGTCAGGTGTCTCAAACAGAAAAATGCTTAAACCCGATGGTTTGATTTTGATCCGTGAGACCCACATCACAGTGGAGGGAGAGAATGGACTCTAAGGTATCTATCCCCTGACCTCAGTGTGAAATGTGGCATACTAGAACCGCGTGTGCGTGCGTGCTCACATGCTCTCACACACAGAGACACACAAATACACATGTTAACAAAAAGACAAAACTAGACAAGTTAGAGAGTGCACATAATTCCGGAGGGGGGGGGCTGGAGAATTGTGAGACCATGCCCAGCCTGAGTTATATACTAAAACCGTCTCAAAAAAGTCAGGGGGGCCTGCCGAGCACGTGCAACACCCTCAAGGTTCAATTCCCAGCAAAGGACCAAAAAGAAAAGGGCTCTTTATGCCAAAGAGAGGAGAAAGTTACTGGTGGTTCTTAGCTCGGAATTCCACTCTTAGGGCTAGTAAGGATCTCTGTGCAGATAAACAAATACTACACCGCTGGTTGGTCTTCTGTCAATGTTTGTTTGTGTAAGACAAGAGTCTCCCTGTGTCAACCCAGGCTAACCTCAAACTCAAGGCTGAGCAAACCTTGACCTTTTTTTCCCCCTTTATTTTCTTTCTTTCCTGACCAGACTGGCCTCTACCTCCCGAGTTCTGGGACTAAAGGTGTGCGCACCCTGCCTGGCGAAGCCTGGAATTAGAAGTTCTCATCCCTGTCACCCCCCTTGAATGCTCCTCCACACCCAGTTTTACGCAGGCTGGTGGGATGAACCCAGGATGCCAGACAAACACTTGCTTAGCTGAGGCGATCCTGGGCTTCTGCTTTTCGTTCAGAACCTACTGTCTATGACCCCAGGCTGGTTCTGAACTCATATCCTGGCTCAGCTGCAAGTGCACTGTTTTTGGAGGCGTGGATGGCTGTTTCTGGATAAAAATAACTTCTTCCAGGGAAGAATTTAGATTCCCCCCACCTTCTTACATTATCTGCTGGATGGCGCACACACTTGCCATTACACGAATGTGGAGGTCATAGGACTACTTGGAAGAGTCAGGTTTTTTTCTCCTACCATGCAGGTCTTGGGGCTGAACTCTATTCAGCTTGGAGGCAAACATCTTTACCTGCTGAGCCAACTCTAGCTCTAGAGGTTTTTAATTACAAAATGGCTAATGTTCATTAATTTGAAATTTCCATTAACTTTTTTTAAAAAAGGAAATACATGTTTTTCTTAAAAAAAAGTTTTAAAATTTTATATGTGTAAGTATTTTGCTTTCATGCGTGTATGTATACCATGAGTAAGCCTGGTGCCTACAGCGGTTATAAGCAGGCTTTGGATCCCATGGAACTGGAGTTATAGACGGTTGTGAGCCACCATGTCGAACCAAAGCCAGGTCCTTTTCAAGAGCACGTGTTCTAAACTGCTGGGCCATCTATCTCTCCAGCCAGGAAATACTAAATGCATAATAACATCTCTAGTGGATTCTAGTCATTTTGATTTTCTTATGCTGTATGTGAAATCAGCATCATTGGTTTGAAGAACTACATGAGGCATGAATCTTCACAACGCCTGATGGCCATGAAAATCTATAATACTAACTCACCCAATAGAAAACATCAGTTTAAATCACTATTCCCATTTGAAATACTTAGCATTTTATTTAGTGTTTATAAATGTATTGACATTACATTAAATTATAAAGCAAAGCAAACAGGTTTGTATAGTATAAATGCTACTGCAAAAATAATGCTTCCACCCACAGCATTCTAGAGAACATAATATAAATTATATATTTTATATATAATTTAAATATAATATTCTAATATTAGGAAAAAAATTTCACCTATTGTTTTCTGTATAGCAAAGTTATTTTCTCTACAAGTTTTCTCCCCTTCAAAGCAATTCATCTAATAAACAGAAGAAACGGGGTGGGGGGTGGGGCAGGGGACAGTGCCCCTTACCTGTAACCCAGAATCTGAGAAAATAAGGGGGAGAGGCTCTATAAACCATCCTCCAAAACACTGACAGGCTAGTCTGGGCTATAACCATCTCAAAAAATTGGGAGAGGTTAAATTATTGTAAAAAGGCATTTTGTCAGTAATGAAGAAATTAAGTCTAGGCCCTTTGTCTATGACTTGGGGGTTGGAGGGGAAGCCTCCTTTGTACTTCTGAGTCAATGACATGGTTACTGGTAGACCATTCCATGACATCAACCAGCTACTAAGATTCCTATAAAGGACCGATCAACCGTCAAGGTGGAGGACCTGGGGCTTCTTCTGCAGACTTTCAAGCCATTATACATTTAACTAACTTACTAGCTTTCCCTGCTTTAGAGAACGAGACAACAAAGCTTGGTCTGTCAGTTTACCACCTTTCTTAGCCTCACACAACCTCTTCAACCTCAGTGCCTGCCCTTCTGCGCTGCAGACACAACTAACCTCAACCATTAAGAGAAACTACATCAGCACAAATCAGCTACACTGGGCAAGTTGTCTATGCTCTTCACTGTCCTGCCAAAATACTCTTCCCAGCGAGACAAACAGGAGATCCAGGGGAAGACTAGTTTTGCTTATTGTATGGTCTTTTTCACATTGAGAAGTCAGTAAAGGTAACCCTACTGATAGAAGATTTCAGTGTGTCCTCAATCCCAGCACACAGACGATGCAGGAGTGCTTGGACCCCAGAAGGAGACTGTCTCAAAAAATCCACACATTTACAAAAACAAACAAAACCTTTAAATTTTGGTTTTCGACACTTACTTCAAATCAAAGGGAAGTATTCTAAAATATCGTCTGTTATGTTGGTAACTGCTATCTAAGCAGCCCTAAATAGAAGTTCAGAAGGTTTTGATTTTCTTTCATGGATAAAGCATTTCACATAAGAAAATTATCACAATGCAGTAAAATACCAGTCTTTTCTACTTCTACTGTAAGTGACAAAAATTTAAACCTTATATTAGCTTTGGAAAATGCAGTGTCAAGCTGAATACATAACAAAGATGATGTTTTAATCACTGATGGATACCTATAAAATTACTGCAATCCCAGACACCTCCATGAAAATTACATGAGTTTTTCAATCGTGATAAAATATACATAATGTTAAATCTACCATGTTACCCCTTGTAAGCTACAGTTTTATTGCCTGCTTGCAAGTACAGCAGCGTCAAGTTCACAGCAGCTTTGCGACTTTCACCACCATCCTTTTGATTCAAAACATGTTTACATCTCCAAAACGAAAAGCTGCACCATTAAACCGAAGTCCCAGTCTGCCCTTCTTTAAAGTAGAATAATCTGGATGACGCTTTAAAAAGCCTCCAGTCAACCCCCAAAGTGCAGCTGTTTTTCCAGAAGCCTCAACAAACATATGAATAAACCATCTGGTTTGTTCGTTTGTTTTCAGGTTCCCCAAGTCACCTGGCTGGGAACATCATCCACCTTTCCAGAAGCCAGCACTCTTACCTTCTTGGAAGCCTCGGGATGCAGGATCTGCCTGACATGAAGCTGCCCATCAGTACACAAACAGAAGGAAGTGCCTACCCCAATGTTCAGCTCATTGCTCACTGACTGGTTAAACTGCAAGAACAAGAACACGGAAGAAGGCAACGAAAGCAGAATTTACAAACATGTCAAAGTGGCCCAACTTGGAGATAATCAGAGAAAGTCGTCCTGAGGACTCTGAGTCCTGATGCGGGCAATATCGCAAACCCTCCCTCCCAATCTGTCACTTTGCGCTAGACAAGGATGCTCTTTCCAGCAGCCCTTATATTCAGGATGAGCCTATCGGAGGTCTCTCTTCACAGTTTGCCTCCAGATTACATCATTCCACGGGGCTGCTTTTTAAATGTTGAGATGTTCCAGCTTTAGATCACCCACTTCCGATACGCAAGCGGGGGGTACTGAATAATCAGAACGCTGTAAGGCGGGTGGCACTTTTCTTAGAAAACACTCTAGAAATAACTTCCTCCTTTAATAGGAGACTCCTGCGTTACGGCACGGCAGAGGCTGGGAGAGCGCAGAACACAGCGCCGCACAGGTGTTGAGACCCGCCCTATCCAGGTTTCTAGCAACCTCAGCACGCACAGCAGCCAGTTTTTAGGTCACCTCAATTCCTACAGGGGATCCCGCCAGCTCCACGGTGACCCAACAGGCAGGCCCACAGGTCCGTACTTGCAACCCCTCCCAGGGATCCCAATCAAAGCACTAAAGAAGCAATGAGGAAGCCGAGCCTTTGGAAATTGAGACTTGAGGCTGAAATCAGGCGGGCGCTCAGGAGCTAGAACTAACTCGGGATGACGGATGCACGGATGGTCTGCTCCTCAACCTGGCTGGGCTGCAGACCCAGGCCCACTAGGGACTGGCTTGGGCTTGCGGGAGTTAGGCTTCAAACTTCGCCGGGGGAAAACGCGACTAATTCGCCCGCCCAAAGAACTACGCGGGAGGCAAGTGGAATCCTGCGAATTTCTATCCCTTTCTATCCCAAGACCCGGGGGGCCAGGAACAAGCACAGCAGCCCCCCCTCTAGAGCCTCTTCCCCGCCCTCCGGCCGGACGCCCACACACAAGGCTGGGAGTCTCGCCACCCCGCCCCAGAAACAAGCGGAGACCGCTCCACGAGGGCGTGGAGCCACAGGGCTGGGTCGGGTCTGGGGGCCGCAGAAATGGGGGTGGACGGCGTGGCCCGGCCCAAACTGTCACCTGTCGGAGGGCTTGGTCCAGCTGCGGCGCGGAAGACAGGCTTTCAACGTCAATTTTAGTTTCTTCTTTACAATCCTCCGTCAGTTCCAACTGATCCGGTCTAACTAGTACTTCGTGCAACTGTCCCACCTCGGGGGGTGAAGGGTGGAGAATAAGGGGTCAGTTCCCCCTTTTCAATTTGGAAATTCTTCCTCCTCCCCGCCTTCCCCCCGGCGGCTCGAGGCTTTCCAGGTACCCAGCAGCAAAATCAAGGCTCCCTGGACGACCAGGGATCTGGTCTCGGCTCCCCCGCCCCACCCCCACCCTACCCGGATCAAGTCGCCGAGGCCCGAGAAGGGACCTCAGCGCCCCAAGAACCACAGCCTGGCCCGGGCGTCCCACGACCCGCAGAGAACGTGGCTCGGCAGCGGGGGCCTCTCTACCTGGGCCAGGTTTCGGAAGACTGAAATGGCCCCAAGGTGGTTTAGTCAAAAGGTTTGCTTTATTATGGATCCTCTAGGCCTCGGGGCCCCGCTTCGTACGCGTGCAAACAAATAAAATAGGAAAAAGAAACCCTCTATCTCCTCTCCAACTTCTACAATAAAGTTCTTGCCCCACTCCTTGTTTGGACCAGAACGTTGTGCAGTACCTTCTTGTTGGCCAAATCCACGACTTTCCATAACAGCAGGATCAGTTCCTTCTCATCTGAACCCAGCTTGGCTCCGGTGGCCCCAGCAGTGATCCCAAAAAGCACCACCAAGTAATCCGGAGACGCCGTCATGACGATAGGTGGGGAGGGGGAGGAGGGGGTTCGGGAGGTGGCGAGGTGGGGTTGGAAGTGAGAACGAGAAAACCTGTGCTAAAAGTCTCTTCCAGGAGAAAAAGAAAGCGCCCACCCCCCTCCTCGCGGCCGCCAGGGCAAAAGGCGGTAACCAACCACCCAAGCCCACACCTGGCCGGCGCTCCACACCCAGGGCAGGAAGGGGGGTGGAAGGAGGGAGCAGCAGGCCTGCCCTTTCTGTATCCAATTGCTGGTGCGTCTATGAAAAAAAGCCGAGGAGCCCAGCTGCACCCCCGGGAGGCGCGAGCAATGGCTGAAAGCTTTTCTGTGTTGGGATGTGGCTCTACCTGCCCGCCCCTTTCCCCCTCCCCCACGTGGTGCAGGTAAGAGACACCTGGCGGCGCCCGCCCATTGGCTCCTTCAAACCACGACGTGGCAGCGGGGAGGGGGGAAGGGCTGGGGAGGAGGGCGAGGAGGGGGCGGGAGACAAAGGCTGGATGAATGGTGAGGCCGGGGCTGGAGGAAGGGAGGGGGCGGGGAAGAGCGGGTTGTCACCCTCGGGGTAGCCAAGGCCAGACCGGGAGAGGAGTAGGGGGCCTAGGGCCCACAACGGCGGGGAGGGGACGGAGAGGCGAGGGAAGCCTTGGCGGTGGGGTTAGGAACTGAAGGGTCGCACGGGAGGCCAAGGCGCCGGGAGGCCAAAGGAGGCCAGAGGTGAGGCCCTGGGCGCGGCGCCTGGGAGGGACCGGCCTACGGCCGCCCGGGTAGGTGGTGCGGGCAATTGCGGAACTCGGGGACAGCCGCTCCTGAGCCCAGCACACCTCGAAGTGCAAACAGCGGGAGGGACAAGTCTTGCGGGCCCTGCCCGTCGACCCGGCGCGGGAGCTGGCGCTCGCTCTCTCCACCTCGGGGCGACGAGCCACCCCCAACCCCCCAGCCGCAGAACCCGACGCCCGGCTAACTAGGCAGGTCCCGGGGCGCAACCACAGTGCTCACAGCTAGGGGACCCCGGGAGGAAGGACCCTGCAGCCCCTTCTTTATCATACACTTTGTTATGTCGGCTGCTAGTTTGAGGCCGAAACGCTCTCCAGGATCGACGCACTTTTAACTGTGATTTGCCCTGGATACAAAATAAAATGCATCTCTGCCTGCTTGCCTGCCTCAAAAAGACCTCCCTGAATCCGGTCAAACAAGCTTTTTACTAAATTTTCTGCACTGTCTCCACGCCCTTCACCCCTGCCTCTTGAATTTGTTTTGGGAGTGTGACTTGACCAAGGTCTCCAGCCCAACGTGTGCCCACAGACTCTAGCGCCGCCGCCAACTCCACCCCCAGCCCCGGCCACGAGTCACCAAGGGGCAAGGTAGGTCATGTTGACATTTTAGAAAAGCGCTAGAGGTATAGTTCCCTCGAGTTTTCTCTTTCAAACCGATCTATTCTTGGGAACCGGATTCCGTCTGAAATATTACTAGCAGGGTGGCCCCTTGTATTCTTGGTGTGAAATGCGGCCGCCACACCCTTGCAACCCCTGGAACCTGTCGGTATTCTCCTGGGGATGTTTGTTAGTGGAAGCCTAGACTCTGGGGAGTAAGGGAAGGGAGTCGGAGGCCGGCGATGCGCGCTTCCCGGTAAGATGGGGTGCGGCGGGTGGCAGGCGGAGCAGGTGGCAGCGGCGTCCGGGAGAGCGGGTGGAGGCCTGGTTCGCTCTCCGCCCCCGAGAGGGCGCTGGTACCACCTGGGTCCTCGGCTGCCACTCCGGGGTTTCAAGGACGCCTCGCAGCCCCGCCCTAGCCACGGAGTCCCTGAGCCAACCTCCTCCCTTGGAGTCGCGGGGGCTGGGTCTGGGCGGGGGAATCTGGAAAAACCACCCAGATTGCATTGCAGTGGGCGAGGCTACCTGGAGTAGCCGGTTCCCCCGAGCTGCGTCGCCCCGGGGCTCTCTAGACTAAATTTCTCTGTTGCTCAGCTCTGTCAAGAGAGGCAACACCTGGCGGGGGTGCGGGCCTCGGCAGTACCGACTGCTCAGCACACCAGGCTGGGAGGCCCGACGTCAGGTGAGCGCGGTGCAGAGAAAGTGATTACAACCGCACCTGAAGCGGCTCCGACACTAATGTGGAGTTTGGATTCGTCGTTTGTAGAACGAGTTTCGACGAACTGAAGACTTAAAAGTCAGCGCTTTTACTAGGAGAAGCCGCAGTAGGAAAACTAGAGGCACGAATCTCATAGCTGCCCCTCTTTGCAGAGACCTTCCATTCCCCACTTACGAAAGCTGGATTCTCCGTTTCTAACATTAAAATAACTTAGGTTAATTTGTCCAACTGGATTTACCTTAACAGAGGTTTTGTTCTTGAATAAATTCTCAGGCCTTCTAACAGCCTGACATGTACGCTGCACTCAACAAATATTTTATTAATTTGAATGAAAAGGAAGACATGATTGCTCCTAGGTGTGGAGAAAGGACAAGGGTTTTGTTTTGTTCTGTGCAGCTATGAGGGAGATGTCGAGCATAGCGGGAGGCATCTGGAGAGGTCCAGAGTGAGCCTGACTCTGAGGAGAGTGGAGAGAGGGGGAACTTGGAGCAGCGACCAAGATGCCAAAGGGGACCAAAAAGGGGTGAACGTAGCCAAAATGACTGGGTTATACCAGGGATGAGCTTCTGGGGAAAGGGCAGTACCGCCAGTCCCTGGGTAGGGGACGTGGGATGCTGGAGGACCTGCGCGCGTCTTGGATATGTTAATATGCTCCTCAGCCATTCAGCTGGGATTTGAGACGCAACTTCCCAGCCTTTGTGTAGTTGTGGCTGAAATCCGGGCGTTGTCAGGGACCCTGGAAAGCTGGAATTCCGACCGAGGCTGGAAAGAAAGGAGTGCAGACTGTTCCCCTACTGTTTCTGCCCAGGTTCTGCAGGTCCGCCTGGAGCTGACTGGCTGGATCACCTAGAACTAGAGCCGCTTTGGGGGTCTGTCTAGGATGCAGATTCCGAAGGAACACCTGGGGCCGGCACGTTGTTGCTGTTGACTTGAAACCTGCCGGGATAGAGACTAGGGAGAGAGAGAAGGTAAAGTTAAGGAGATTAGGGGAAATTTCTATCTTGGGTGTACACTTGAAACTTTCCCGCCCATGGCCCTGGTTAGGGGAGGGAAATCTCAAGAACCAGGAAAAGGGGGAGAGACCCCCACCCTCAGGCCGTTGGGAAAACGGCCTGTTGATTCACAGGGGTATTTATCTGGAGTTTGTTTGACCTGTGAGAGACCGATGACTCTCTGAAGCTTCCATGAATTTGTTTTTGTTTTTCCCTGTGTAATATTTTCTGCAATAGCCTTGGCTTTCCTGGAACTCGCTTTGGAGATCAGGCTGGCCTCGAACTCACTGAGATCCACCTGTCTCTGGAGTTGAGGGGTTAAGGGCTTTAGCCACCACCACCTGGCATGAATTTTTAAAGTTTAGAGCACAGAGCATTTTAAAGTTCATACTTAGGAGATTTACAATTTTGAGCTTGTGGCTGTAGTAGGTAGCAGTTCTTTACCAGGGATTAATATTTTATCAGCACTCCGTTGATTAATGTTAAAACTCTGGAGTCTTAGGTTTTTTTGTTTTGTTTTTTGAGAAAGGGTTTCTCTGTGTACCCTTGGCTGTCCTGGAACTCGGAGATCTGCCTGACACTCATTTCTATATACCTTAAATCACTTTCATAGATCTTTATGACTTGTATTTATGCATCTTAAAACAAGTTTTTAGACCCTCACAACTTACTTAAGGTTTCATATCCTCAGACCTTTGCCTCTTGTATTTATATACCTTAGAGCACGTTTCTTAGACCCTCAAAACTTACATATCCCCCCTTTAAAAAAAAAAGACTTATTTTATATACTTTGGTATTGCCTTCAGGTATGTGTGATGGTACCAGATCTCCTGGAACTGGAATTACAGACAATTGTGAACTCCGTGTGGGTGCTGGGACTTGAACCAGGGCCCACTGGAAGAGTAGTCAAGTGCTCTTAACAGCTAAGGCATCTCTCCAGCCCTAAACATTTTTGTTTTGTTGTTTTGTATTTTTTTTTTTTTGAGACAGGCTTTTTTTGTATAGCCCTGGCTGTCTTGGAATGCACTGTGTAAACCAGGCTGGCCTCCAACTCAGAGATTCGCCTGCCTCTGCCTTCTGAGTGTTGGGATTAAAGGCGTGCGCCACCACCTCCCAGCTCTTTTTTTTATTATTATTAATTCAACCATTTACCAGGGGTCACGGGTGACTGATTACTGATTAATCAGTTTTGATATGTTAATAGACACCTCAGCCATTTGCCCCAGGTTTGAGACCTAACTTAACTGTAATAACACACACCAAAATTTGCAGCTTTGTTTTATGATCTAGATGTTAATTCATCACTGTAAATATGAGACTCAGCTGACAGTCTACAAAAACAGTCCACCATCCCATCCCATACATACATATCCCCGCCTCCAACCAAGATTTCTCTGTGTAGCCCTGGCTATTCAAAAACCCGATTTACAAACCAGATGGCCTCAAACTCAGAGATCATCTACCTTTGCCTGCCTCCCAAGTGCTGGGATTAAAGGCTAGTCTACAGAATATTTAAATTTCAAATGTTCTAAAAAAAAAAAAAAAGGTAAAGGCCTTTAGGGACCTGGGCACAGCAGGACGTGCCTATAATCCTGGCATTGGGGAGGAGGAGGAAGATCAAGACAAAGGAGTTCTAGCTACATGACAGAGATTCTGTCTATGAAAAATAGATTCGGCCAGGTGGTGGTGGCGCACACCTTTAATCCCAGCACTCGGGAGGCAGAGGAGGACGGATCTCTGTGAGTTCGAGGCCAGCCTGGTCTACAAGAGCTAGTTCCAGGCTACAGAGAAACCCTGTCTCGAAAAAAAACAAAAACAAAAAAATAAAAATTGTTAAAAAAAAAAAGAAAAGAAAAATAGATTCGAAACTAAAGGAAACAGAAACATAAAGGGCAGACAGACTTAAGTAACACTGGGTTACTCATCACTGGGCAGCACCACGTAGGCAGGAGCACATCCTGGATTTAAAAATGCATGAATGAATGAACATTCTAGCGATAAAGAAAAATGTCTGGAAGTTGCTCCCCAAGGATTCAGACAAACCTTATAGATGTTACCATGATGATCCAATGAGGGACTTTTCTCCCCTGCCCCAATGCTGGCGGTCAATCCACTAGGGGCCAATCCTAGGTCTTACTTTCTCCCGGATGCTGGGTAAGAGCATGGCAGCCTTAGTGGTAGGGGAGAGAATCCACTGTACTATTCTCGGCTACTTCTGTGAGGCTGAGATTGCTTCAGACTTGCCATGCTCTGTGTTAGCCTCCCTGCCCACCGTGCTCCCCCACCCCGCCGCGCCCTGCCTCAGATACTGCCATGCAAGGATTTAACAATGTTCTGTGCCACCCCTGTCTTCTATGATGTAATACTTCATTACCGTAGAATTCATGTATGTTTGTTGCTTTTCTTTAGTAAATAGAATAAAGGTAAAGAAAAAAAGGTTTTCTTTGGTTTTAGTTTCTTTCTTTCTTTTTTTTTTTAATTGAGGGAGAAGCATGAGTATGCTCGTGTTGAGTGTGAAGGACAGGACCCGGAGTTACAGGCGGTTCTGAACCTCCGGATGTGGACACCAAACTCAGCTCCACTGCAAGAACAGGAAGTGCCCATACTGGGCTGAGTCTCCATCCCTCCCTGTTCCTTATCACAATCTCTTCCTACACTTTAAAGTTGCCGTTAAGTGACCCTTCCTACACTGAACAGCTGCAACCTCTTCATTTCCTGTTCTTTAATTACCTTCTTAGCCTCGTCTAGTCCTCGGGCATGCGCGAACGTGCATGTGCCTGTGTTGCTGGTAATTGAATTTCTTGCTATTTTAGGGGGTTTCATTTGTTTTAAGAAAAGATCTCATACAGTCTAGAATGGCCGTGACTTTGCTGACCTGGAAGCTCTCATCACTTTCGGGGGGGGGGGGTGATACACGTGGAGGTCAGAGAGCGACTACTTTAATGATTCCAATTTCACTCAAGTCTGCATCGTTCTCACTTGCACACTCCTGGTTGTTACTATAAAAGCTTAGGTGTCAGATGGGGAAAGTCTGCCTCTCTTGAAGAGCTCTCTTGCTAGCCCACTTTCAGGAACTGGAGGAGTGAGTGCTTGGGAGGAAGACACGTCAGAGCCGACGAGCTACTATGCCACCAAAAGCGTTCACCAGAAGCCAGCATTCACAGCGAGCATCCCAAGCCCATGGGAGATGTACCAGCGGGGCCAGAAGACTGCGTGTCAAGGAACAATGGAAATAACAACTAGAGATTGACATTTTCTTTTTTTCTTCTTCTTGAGATGGATTTCTTTGTGTAACCTTGGCAACTATTATGTAGTCCTGGCTGTCCTGGAACTTTCTCTGTAGACCAGGATGATCTCTAACTCACAGAGCTCTGCCCGCCTCTGCCTCCCAGAGTGCTGGGATTAAAGGCACGTGCCGCCTCTGCCTGACTAGGACTGAAGTGTTCAACCATGCAGGAATGAAAGATTGGTTGAATTAAGAACTTGTGTGTTGAGAGTATTTTTTAAAGGTGTGTTACTTTTGTCGATGTTGCTTTTGTTTGGCTCCGTGACCTGTGTTACTGTGTCCATCTAAAACACCTGATGGTCTCATAAAGAGCTGAACGGCCAATAGCAAGGCAGGAGAGAGGATAGGCGGGGCTGGCAGGCAGAGAGAATAAATAGAAGGAGAACCAAGCAAGAGGAGGGCATCAGGGGCCACCCAGCCAGCCACGGGGTAAAAGTGAAAGTCAGATATGCAGAAGTAAAGAAAGGAAAAAGCCCAGAGGCAAAAGAGTAAAGATAAAAACCAATCCCAACACTTGAGTATTTCACCCCTGAAAACCCCATTATGAACAGTGTGGCTCTCTGGCAATGTCCACTGATGCCCTCCTGTCAGAAGCAAAAGGAACTTCACAACATCCCCACTGAAAACATGAAGATCCTGAATAAGAATCTCTCCTGCGTGGCGGTGGAAGATCTCTGTGAGTTCAAGGCCAACACGGTCCACAAGAGCTAGTTCCAGGACAACTAGGACTATTACACAGAGAAACCGTGTCTCAAAAACTTAAAAAAAGAAAAAATTACGTCCCAGATAGGAAATGAGGTTGAGATGTTGAAAACACTCAAGCATGTATTTGAGACATTCATCTGTGTTCACACTCTGCAGTTGTTGATCAAGAGCTGTCATGATTTCTGCAACCGGCTCAATCCACCTGCACTCGCTCTGCCCATGCCAGCCCGGCGGGAGCCGCAGCCCAGCAGGCCCCTGCGTATACTCCGAGATGGCAAGCGTGGAAGCGTTCACAGTACTCAGGCTCCTGGTTGAACCCGTCTGTGACTGCACTAAGGACAGTAGCACTGTAACCCTGAATGGGAGAAATGCCGTAGCGTGTAACTAGCATCTCAGGTTTTAAAATACCAAGTGGAAATCTGTGTTCGAGGCCATCAGAAGTCACTGATTTTCCTGGGTATTCACTGCAGATGGGGTTGTGAGACACCTCATCTTCTGCTCCCTGATCAGACCAAATTTCTGCAATGGGGAGGGAAGGAAAAATGACAGTCAGGATGATGAAATAAATGACAATTTTCTATTATCCTGTGTATTCCACATTTAAACACATTACTGGCCTGAACCTTGATTGTACCCATTACCATAGACTGTCTGTAGAAAAATATAGCCTCTTGCTATCTTGTGGTTTGGGCTTGTTCTTTAGTCTCAAAGGGACTTGGTTTCTCATTGTGACAGTCAGGTACCAATGATGACATGTACTCCATGGTCTTTAAGGAAACAGGGATGTGTAAATGTTTACTTAAAGAGAATAAACCTAAGAGCCAGGAAGGTTACACTGAGAAGACTCCCTGAGAGAGGGTCAGGATGGCTCAAGGTAACCACAATGTCCCTGACTCTCAGCCTCTGTCTTAAAGACAGCAAACCCAGTAGCCTTCTGAGTTCAGGACATTTGGGGCAAGCCTGGGCTTCATAATGAAGCCCCTACAAAAGAGAGTGGCAAGGTGTTTAAACCAGACCTTGTCTCAACCCCTGCTTGTCACAGGCAAATTTAGAGAAAAGGCAGATACAAGACACAAGGAATCTGGATAGCAGACCAGCATGAGACACCAACGCTTGGAGATTATAGAAACGAGCCTGTTTTACTGGGCATTGGGGGGAAGTGATGCCCCCAGAAACCCCTCTCTCCTTACTCTGGCCTTTTGGCACAACTACCCTCTTCCCACCTATTCCTTACTCGGGCTCTTATACAAGTTCCGGAGAGGAAGCCCAGCAGCACGATTTTCCTATTAAGTCAAGGTGAGGTTGACAGCTAGGACTTTAAAGACCTGAACTAAAGAGGAGTGTGGGCCATTGTCTTGGGCCTTCTATTGCTGTGAAGAGACACCATGACCACGGCAACTCTTATAAAGGAGAACATTTAATTGAAGGGGCCTCACTTACAGTTTGAGAGGTTCAGTTCATTTTCATGGTGACTGGGAGTATGGCCGTGCGCAGGCAGAGATGGTGCTGGAGAGCTAGTTGAGAGTTCATCTTGCAGGCAACAGGAAATGGCCTAAGACACAGGAATAACTCCAGCCTGGAAGATCTCAAAGCCACTCCCACAGTGACACACTTCCTCCAACAAGGCCACCCCTACCCCAACAAAGCCACACCTCGTAATAGTGCCACTCCCATTGGGGACCATTTTCTTTCATACCACCACAGCCATGCTCCCTGTAATAAACCTTCCGTGCTAAGGAAAGTCAGAGGTGAAACTAGAAAGGGGGTAGAGTTAGAGCAAGGAGACCAGGAGTGAAGGGGACAGGAAAAGGGATGTGGGTGATTATGATCGAACACTTTTTATACATGGGTGACAATGTTATAATGACACCTATAGAATATTAGTTAATCTTCACTGATTGCTTTTCAGGGAAAGGAAGTATTGTCTCTTATTTTCTAAGTCTCTGGTTTCCTTGCAGTCAGCTTAGCCAACCCTTTGGCTGATAAAAGTACCAGTGTTGCTAGTCTGGCAAAATATAACCCAGGAACCAGGAAATGGTTTTCTCCTTACTTTGTGTGTTTGCAGGATATAAATGTTAGGTTGAAAGAGCACATCTGGCAGAAGCTGCAGTTTGGAGAGGAGGAAGGTAATTTTTATGATGGGTCTATATCTGCTTCATACAGTGTAGTCAGTATCTCTCACCCGGGACTCGGCGGGTGTGTTCAGTCATTCATTTATCCTGTTGACAGGCTTGTTGCCCCAAGCAGGATGTTCGGCACTGGAGACTCACTAGTGAAGAGAGACAAACATGGCCCTTGTTCAGTGAGGGCGATGACCAAGTAGCTAGACACAAAAACAGATGTATAAACCGTACAAGTGCTCTCAGAACCAGGGCCTGGGACTCCACAGCAGTGAGGCACCGGGAGTCAGGAAGTGGCATCTGAATTCCAATCCACTAGTCAAAGTGAAACAGCCAAACGGGAAGAGCTCTGACTCCTCACTCTAGAGCCAAGGTTGGGAGGGATCGCAGCCTGCCAGAGTTGTCTGCAGAGGAGGAACTTGGGAGCTGCACTTGACTTGCTGTGGCCAAGTGCCAAGTGCATGGACTCTTCCTGAGTCTAACGTGGCTGACTGTGTGTGTGTGTGTGTGTAACATTCCTGACTCTGTGTGTGGATCTAACATTCCTGTCTCTGTATCTGTGTGTGTGTGTGAATCTAACATTCCTGATTCTGTGTGTGTGTGTGTGTGTGTGTGTGCGTGCGTGCGCGCGCAGGTGTGTATATTCCACAGCACACCTGTGGAGATCAGAGGACACTTTTGGGGAGTTGGTTCTTTCGTTGTATCTTGGTGCTTGAGTCCGGGTCTTTTGTTTGTTTGTTTGTTTTTCTTACTGTAGCCGCATTTGGCTTCTATTAGTTTTCCCAGCCTGTGTGTCCCATCTCACTAGAAGAAAGCCAGGACTGCCAGGGGATGGTGGTACACTGCTGTGGAAAACCCTTTTGTACACTGTGAAGTCTCCTCACTGTGACTCGTTTAATCAATCAAACAAACAAACAAACAAACAATTGACTGGCCAATAGCAGAACAGGATAAATTAGGTGGAAAAACAAATCTAAGAATGATGGGATAAAGAAGGGCGGAGTCAAAGGAGTCACCAGTCAGACACAGAACTAGTCAGATGTACAAAATGGGATAGATAGCCAGGCGGTGGTGGTGCACACCTTTGATCCCAGCACTCAGGAAGCAGAGGCAGGTAGGTTTCTGAGTTAGAGGCCAGCCTGGTCTACAGAGTGAGTTCCAGGACAGCCTGGGCTATACAGAGAAACCCTGTCTCATGGTGCAGGGAGAAGCTAAGATACAGATACACACTATTGCACATGGCTTTTTGTGTGGGAGGGTGGGGAAGCAGGGTTTCTCTGTGTAGCCCTGGCTCACCTGGAACTGGCTCTGTAGACCATGCCAGTCTGGAACTCACAGAGACCCGCCTGCCTCTCCATCCTGAGTGCTGGGATTGGAGGTGTGCGCCACCAATCACCTGGCTGTAGGTGGCTTTTTATGTAGGTTCTGGGGATCACATTTGGGTCACCAGGCTTGTGCAGTGAGTACTGTTACCCACTGAGCCATCTCCTGGCCCTAAGAAATGTTTTAAAATAATTAATATGGGTTACTATTCTTTCATTTCATATAAGAATGCAGTTTTAGCTACCTTGAATTCAATTTAGGAATATAACTGAAGGAAGTTCTCTCTTGAGTTCAAGGCAACATAGTGACACCCTGTCTCAGAAAAAGACAGTTTTAATATCAAAAAGACTAATCAAGAATAAAGAAGTTTTGTTTTTGTTTTTTGGGTTTTCTTCTTATGAATAATTGGTCAAATCACTTTCATATAAAAAAGAAATCATATACTAGAGGTTTGCAATCATTACCTTAATCTTTTCTGAAAATTATGAACAAATTGATTTCCCTAAAATTCATTTTGGCTTACCATATGTGTGTGTGTGTGTGTGTGTATGTGTGTGTGTGTGTGTGTGTGTGTGTGTACCTCACTATTTTTTTTAAACAGATTCTCATGTAGCCTGTGCTGGCTTCTAGCTCACTTTATGGGGGAGGATGGCCTTGAACTCTCGATCATCCTGCCTCTACCTGTTGAGGGCTAGGCTTGGGTTCTAATTTTAGCATTTCCACTGTTTGGGGTTAAACCCAGGGCTGTCACCCTGCTCAGCAAGCACTCCACCAACTGAGCTATGTCCTCAGCCCTGCGGCATCATGTCTGTCTCTCCTACTTTCCCCCTTCCCTCTCTCCCTCCTTGTAATATTTATCTTATTTTATGTATGTGCATATGTGTCTCTGTATATGCACAAGGGGGCAGATGCCTTTGGAGCCTGGAAAAGGCATCAGAACCCCTAAAACTTGGGTAGTTGTGAGCCAAGTTTGGTGCTAGAAACCAAACTCAGGCCCCCAGGAAGAGCAGCCAGTGCTCATGACCTCTCTTTGTTCTCCTTTCATTTCAGACAAGATCTCCCTCTGTATTCCCAATTGTCCGGACCCTATGTACCCCGGTACTCTATGTACTGACTGCAGATTCCCGGCAGTCCCACTGCCTGAGTCTCTACAATCACGCTCAGCTCCTTCTATATGATTTATAATGAAATCTGCAGCCACCTACCTGCATCCTTCCTAAACTCCAATCCTGTTTCCCAGAGGTAGCTCCTCCCCTTTGTCACCTCTTCATTTTTTAAAAGATTTATTTATTATGTACCTAGTGCCTGCATGTATGTCTACACCCCATAGAGGGCACCAGATTTCATTACAGTTGGTTGTGAGCCACCATGTGGTTGCTGGGAATTGAACTCAGGCCCTCTGGAAGAGCAGCCAGTGTTCTAAGCCTCCAAGCCATCTCTCCAGCCCCATTTCGTTTTTGAACACTATGCATTTACTACTATTAAACCTTGGTCTAAGCCAGGTATTGCTGGTGCACATCATTAATTCTGGCACTTGGGAGGCAGACACAGGCAGATCTCTTGAGTTTGAGGCCAGCCTGATCTACAGGACAGTCAGGGCTACACAGAGAAACCCTGTCCCGAAAACCAAAGCATACAAGCAAGCATTATTCTAGAAGTCTAATCTGGAGCCAGCAAGATGACTCACTGGGTTGATGGGCTTGCTGCCCAGCCTGTGTGCAGACAAACTGCAAGACCTCTGCCATCCTGGTGCCATCAAGGATATTGGACCCAAGCCACTGAGTAAACTAGCTGTGATCCAGTGCGTTACCACCAAAGATTTGCATCCGGAATTTGGTCTGGACATGTATAACCAAGCAGAGACTCACAAGCTCTTGGCGCTGGTTCACACGAATGGGTGAATGTTGCTCTGAGAACCAGAGGCCAACCATATAAGATGTCCAGGGAGAGAATTCTAGATTCCATTTTCTCAAAAAATCAAGTTTGGGGAGAATCCAGAGAAGGGGGGAGAAGAGGAAGGGGGAGGGTCTTCCGTGTTCTGAGATGCAGGAAATGACTGTCTGTCAATAAACATGAACACCAAAATACATACAAGACCGCAAACATTTTAGCACATGCCTATGATCTTGGCACTTGGGAAGCTGAGACTGGAGACTCACCAATCAGAAGCCATCTGGATGTCTGTATACCACGGACCTGTCTCAGAAAACGGGTCACTGAGATGGCTCGTCAGGTAAAGACGTTTGCCACCCAGCCTGAAGACTGAGCTGATCCTCAGAACCCACACAGTGAAGGAGAGAACTGATTCTCTAAGTCGTCCCAACTTCCACACACATCGTTGTGTGCACTTACGACCAAAAAAGGGTAAGGGTTCATTTTTAATTGTACAATGTCAACACAACATGGGAGATATGGACAGAACTGAGATTCGTACATATGGACTCTCATTTCAGTGACTGTGTTTCGCACTGCTACACTGTATGGAATGAGAAGCTCTGGGAGCCAGCTGTCAGAAATTAAAATACCGTCCTGGGGCTGGCGTGGTGGCTTAGTCATTAAAGTGCTTGTCATGAGCTTGCATGGCCACATCCATACTGTGCCGGGAGGTGGACATGGGTGAACACCCTAGGCTTGGTGGGCATACACACAGTTCTCCGAGCTAGAGATCTCAAGAGATCTGGCTAAGAGTATGCTTGCTGGACAATAATGAGGACCTGAGTTCAGATCCCAGCACCCATGGAATAAGCCATTCGCCCCTTGCGCATGACCGTCAGCTCTGAGGGAGGCAGAGACAGAGGAGGACTGGGGATGGTTGGCTTCCAGCCATGCCAAGAAAATGCAGGCCCTAGGTTTAAGGCAAGGTCCTGCTTTGATAGAGGAGATGGAATGGTAGAGGTGAACGCCCGATGCTTTCCTTGAGCACCTCCGTGTACGCAACAGCAAATGACCCCTTACACATGAGTACATATACCCAGATACCTCACCAATGCAGCAGGCTGTGAGCCTGTTTACAACTGCAGTGATCACACATCTTAAACTCTCTAAAGTAGCAGCGCAGTATATCCTCAGATTGATAATTACAGTCGTGGATTGGGAAGAACATCTGAGACACAC